ATATTCCATCTCTTCCTTAGGAAGACCACTTCGAGCCCGTACTCGTATCAGATCAGGACGTTCCCTCTTCCTCTTCTTGTGGAAGACCTTGATCACCTATTTACTCACACTTGTACTCTGTGTATAAATAGTATACACACTCCTTGAGACTCCGGGATACAGGGAAACGAAGATGCAGACAGAGCTGCGCGCTCCGGCCTCCGACAACTGCTAAGCAAAGACAGACAGCCTGGCTCAGCTACGTTGGCGTACGTTCGTCGGCTCATGAACCGGAAACGACAAGCAATTCTCAACGAATGATGAGAAGAAGCATGTCCACCTAGTTATCGAAATCTGGATCTTCTCATGCGACGACGCAAGCCATGCGAGCAGACACATTCCCGGCGGCTACTCCGTGAACTGATCTCAGCCCGAACGGGCCACGGAAACTTTGCCACATGTCACCGTCGTTTTAATAACTTCGCCGCTTCAATGGAGTGTGCGTGTGGAGAGAAAACACCACCTCTCCATTTCATTAACTGTCGACTGCACGCACGCCAGACGCGTCGACTTCGAGGTACAATGTCACATCACAACTGTGTCCACAAGCTTCTCGGGCCTAAGTGCCTCGACGACTTTACAAATTTTGCGCAGGAAACCGGCTGCTTCGGGGACCCACCTGCGAGTCCGTCTCCAGCTCTCAGCGTAGACGGCGCTAACTAGATCATAGCACGAAGCATGACAGGTAGGAAAACGAGAAGAGAAGTGTCATTTTCCAACCACAAATAGGATTATTGGGGTTGGAATTTTGGTTGTGGGAGTTTGTGGGAGCTTTTATTTTCTTTCTTTTAACCAGCTACTGGTTGTGTAGTGGTTCACGCAGTGAGACCGGGTTGGGCATGTGGGGAGCATGATCTCGGCCGTGTACACCGGTCTTTGACTTAGGATATATAGAGCATAGCTTAAGACCTAAAATCAGCAAAAAAAAACGCACAATTCGAGAATTTCAAAATTTCCCATTTTCCAACCCTCTTGAACTCGTCGCCCCCATCTTTGAATTGTGATCGAGCTTGTGGCATTGTCACCAAACCTCCTGTTCGCAAAAAGCGCCCAAATGCCACGTTGGATAACACGAGAGTCCTCCCGAAGGCTCTCGCACAAATGCCGGGCCTTGTCCAGTCTTCAAAATGCGTGGAGATGAGCAAGTTCTCAACTAGAGGGAATGAAAAATTCCTCCGGCGTCGCTGAGCCTGATACTGACATGATCGGGTTAGTTGAAATTGATGAGGAATTTCCTCAGCGAGACTCCATCCCCCACGGGATTGGGGAATAATCCAAACCTCTTCCGGCCGCGCCAAAACCGTCGAATAACGCTGCACCCAAAGCATCGTCAAATCCGACGTCGCAGCTAAAAGATGCCACGAAGGCAGACTGCCCCCCGCGCTTGGACCAATTGTCGAAGCCGAACAACGACGCGCCGCCGAATCAGCGGCAAACCTGGCACTCAGTTCCGCCGCCATCTCTGGCGTCGAAGCGACCCTTCTTCCTTTGACCAACGGGTCAAACAGACAATTCGTAAACTCGATGAGAGTCTACCTACGCGCCGCCATCGCGCAATATATGGCTACGGGCCCGGCCTCCACGCCCAGCGAGCCCAATCCTAAGGGCTCTCGACGCCAGGAGCCAAACAATACCCGCCGTCCCAGTCCTACCTTAAAAAAGTACTTGGGCCAGGATGGCTAAAAACGGACTGCGTCAAAAAGCAGTCCGTATAGGAAAGGCTGTGCCGCAACCCGCGGCTAAAGCCATAAAGACGCCCCGAAGAAAAAAGTCGACAAACGACTCTTTTTTTCGCCTTGGCAGTGACTACCTGTGGCGCAAGCTCTCACCTAGCCGCGTACGGGTCGAAGTACAGGTTGAGCTGCAGAAAATCTTGAGTGAAACCAGCTCCTTTTATCGAGTCAGAACCAGCTATACGATTCTGGAAAAGAACGAAGTCCTTGTGCAAAGGCTATTCAGGGCTGCTCTGAGACTGGTAAAACACAACGCCATACTCAAAGAAGCTTCTGACCTTGCCGCCTTTCGAAGTGCAAATGTAGCCGTGACCCTACAAACACTCGATGGTACTCGTATAGTTGATGCTGAGTGTATCCCAACCGAGATACACTATAGAACCTGAGAGGAGCCAATTCAGGTGCCACCGCACGGGATATGCTGTCCTGGTGCTCAGTAGAAAAATTGGCCATCCCTTCTTGCCCGAGACGCTGTCCCTCGTGTGGGCTTCCGCTTTCTCGACCAGTCTGGATCGGCTACAAAGGTCCAGCCTCGACGACCAATCACACAGTGCAAACACCGTCTGGGCTTCCACACCACTCGTGGTTGCTCCTGCGCTCCAGCCTGCTGGAACCGCGGATCTAACATGCACTCGGAAGCCGAGTGTAAGGCCCTCACTAAGTGTCGCAACAGTGGGGGCCTCACCGATCAGATTCCCGGAACTGCTAAGCCAGACCCAGAAAGTCCGGACCAGTAACCAAAGAGTAGCTCGCGTGGATTCGTCACATCCAGCAAGGGAGGTTCGCGGAAGAGGCAAAAGCTCGGGCTGACGAGGCGATCATCGCCTCAGTGAAGGATGTCTCGATGGCCGAGGGAGCAGGTTTCGGAGTGCTGGAATCTTAAGAAGAAGCTTAAGAATACAGCGACCTCGGAGATATTCCTTTTTGGCCATCTACTAACCAATAGCAGGATACCGGCTGGACCAAAGGTGCCTACTAACCCATCTTTTGCTCTCAGCGGAGATGGAGTAAATTTGTCATTTGGAAGGTATGACGGGCGAGGAAATGCGTGATGAGCACATTGCTTGGGTCCCACATAGAGGAATCTTCTATCTCTCGGAGTTGTTTTGATTTTAGATGTCTTTTATATCGTTTCTGTTTAATCAGCTGCACTTTGGCAGCGATTCACGGGGTTGGAACGAGCTAGGCTGTAGGAAAAATTACAGGGAGCCCTGCAAGCTCCACCGGTCCTGCAACCATGGTGGACATAGTGCTTAAGCTTAGGACCAATTCATCCAAAAAAAACCAACTAACGCTTTTCATCCTCGGACTTCATGTTGAGTAGTAGTTGTATATCACATGATGCCATGCGGGGGAGAAGGAATAGAATAGCAAAAGCCGCTAGCGAAACCAGAGCGATCTGGCGCACTGGGAGGGCAAGGCTGAACACCTGCACGCGGTGTCCTCTACGAACCTGGGAGTGAAATATTCTCCCAGAGCTAAGTTCAGTCAAATTTCGCAATATCAAAGAAATTGGCCCACGAGGCAATGATTCAAATTACTCCACCACGTCGTTTTTTCGCTCCCAAAGAGTTCGACTCGTACCTAAGTCTCATCAAGTCTACAAGTACGACCTATAACATCCTCATCCCAATGACCAAACCTCTTGTCGACTTTCTCTGGCCTCAGCCGGTCACCAAATACACGCCCACGCCGATATTTGTACCAGACGGAGGAAGCAAAGCGCGGCGCACAAATCTGAGAGACAGTTCTTTTGGGATGGACGTGAGACGATTCAGGACAGATTGATAAGATGATGCAGAGGAACGATATAAACTTGAAGGGCGTGAGAATCCGAATTTTGGCAAGAAGTTTTACGAATTGAGCTTTGTGCACGCCAAGACTTCGCTTGCGAGAGTGCAATTGACACTATAAAAACAAGCCGACGATGGAAGGTGTTGTGGTTCGCCTCCTGGTGGTGTTCTCTGGTATAGCCTGGGTACCTACTCCACTTGGGAAGGAGACGCCGCAGACCACATTTCGCGCGGAGAGAATTCTGTGGATGATGGAGGCATGTCTGGATAACTCAGGGTTTTTGAGACGTTCCCCTGGGTGGGTAATGACGGATGAGGGTTGACTTGGGGTGAAGAAAAAGCCGCCATACCTTCGCAGAGGTACTTGCAAATGAAATCCGAGGCATGAGTGATCTTCTTGTAAATTGAGTCATCTATGATACACTTCTCAGATATTGTGTTATGCCTAGATAGCTGCATACGCATCTAAAATCTGTTGCAAAAAAATTTCATAACGGCAGCACCTGTAGGAATCTCACGTGGGCGGTGTAACTAGATATCACATATTTGGCAAGTCTAGGACGGCAGAACTTCAGTCGCAGAAGATGTATTCTTTAGTTAGATGAGAGAGAATGGATATATCCGAACAACGAACCTAACCTGTAATCTAATTAATCTCAAGTTGTGTGCGCACTTACCTTTCTGAGTTATTCCAACATTAACCTTTCCGGCATGAAATCTTTTCCGCGCACACCCACCGCAGAGAAAAGCGTAAAAGCCCCATGTTTGTCCGGGTATGCTTTCGTCACACTATAAGTACGATATCACCGCGAGAGAGTGTGGTGTGTCAGTCTTATTGGAACTGAACCAGCTTTTTACTGTCTCATGTGGGATAGGTATTTAATTTGCCCACAATTTACTTAAGGGAACGGCCGGGACGGCGTGCAACTGCACCGCCCGACCCTGACCAGCGAGTTAGTTGCTCAACATATCACAATCTATCCAATCTTGACGGGGTAAACCAATGCCTTGCAGACGTCGAGTTTCACCGTTCTAGCATCCAGAGTCATTTGGGTAAAGTGATCAAGGAAAGATAACATTTTGCACCAAATTCCTACAAACAAAGACCGCTGCTTTAAGCGATCTACAATAGAATCTTCAACAAATACCTGTACCTTTCCCTTGGCTCATATATCCTGCAAAAATTTCAACAAGACAGAATTCTCTATCCATGATAAGGATATATCCCATCATTATTAGTAGACAGAGCGAATTCGTAAACACTACAACTCCACCTAGCAGCACTTTTACATTGCGTGCGCCAAACATAAGTCATCATGTACCCCCTTGACTCCTTACCAATGCCTATGGAATCTTGACGCCCTCATTGATTCGTATGAAAACAGAATGAAGGGTATATGGCTTCTCCTGTTTGAATTCTCACAAAAATTTAGCGTCAATCAGCAATTCCCAAACCTAAACCGACTTTTCCTTGCCCATCCCTAATCCCTATGCTACCGCCTCGCTCTCGTAAACGTCGTCCTTCCATTAGTCCTCTCAGTCCTCGTTTCTGTAGTCCAATTACTGTACTGACGCTACCATCCCACACAGGCCTCCCAGAGTTTGAGCTTATGTTGCTACCACTCATGTCGCTGTGTACGCTTTCAGTCGCACTCCCAGGATCGTCATCATCATATGCTCGTCCATATCCTCCAGAACCTGTATTAATCACAAGGCCTTGGCCTCCAGAATCGTAGACTGTGGAAGAGTCTACATCGCAAGACTCAAAACCAGGGGTGCCTTGAAGGTCATTAAGACTCCAATGTTCTGCGACAAAGGTAGAGGGGCCTCCACCGGCCGCCATAGCTGATGCATTAAATACAGCGGCGGCGTTACGTGAATCAAGTACGCCATGGAGACGTTCGACAACTGCCTCCAAAAGACCATCGACTTTGTATGGTCGAGCGATTTGAAGGAGCGAGCAGAGGATCTGGGGTGTACACAAGGACGATGAAGACGATGGGAGTGTAGAGTTGTAGATGAAGTGTAGGAGAGCTTGCACTGTTGGTTTAGTGTGGGGTAAGTATAAGGTCCGCGGCCGCGCGGTAGGTGACAGAGAGTTTGGATCAGGTGGGTTCAGCAGATTTGAAATATCAATGGACCTATTATGGCCAGTCGAGGCTTTATTTAGGTATCGTCCATTGCGGGGAGTTATCGTAATATTTGAGTTTCGGTTCTTGCTAGAGGTCATGTTCTCGGGTCGAAGAGTCGCTGCATCACTGGCATCCTGTGTAATGCTTCCCTCACGAAGCAGTTGTATAAAATAAGGTCCCCACCTCTTAGCAATTATCCGAGAATTAGCTGGTATGCGTTCTCCGTTTACACAGAGAATATCCATATCAGAAAGCTCTCGGAGTCCGAGTGCAGCTTGACCTAATTCCTCAGCTGCTTTTGAGAGCGGACGACCACCCACTGACCATCCAGTCTTCGAGATAAATTTAGTAGAAGCGGCAGAGAAGGGATAGCTCGCTGAGACAAATCCTGACATGGGCGAGACCTTTCTCGGATTATCGTATAAGCCAAATGCCTCTAGCTCAACGGTACAAATGTTTGTAAAATTAATACGTCGATGGTTGTAGTCTTCTACCAAGCTTCGCTTTCTGTTGCCCAAAATTACATAGGTATTTCGCCGATTCCAGAGCACACCGCGATTCCAGCTACCCTGGCTGAATACACTGCCGCCTGCGTCAATTCGACTCCAGGTTAATGTCCGTAAATCCAAGGCCCACAAAGCGTATTCTTGCTTTGAGGATGTAAGATAGGTGCCGCTGACAACAAAATTTGTATTAATAATTCCGCCATTGGGAAATCGAAGACCTGGTGGCGAGAATGTGCCTTGCATTAGCTTCTCGGTAAGTGTGCCATCTGGAGCACGTATCTGCAATTCTAATTTTACATCTAGGAAGTTGTAATTAGAATAGATTAGCATTGAAGACCCTGCGTCTTTAGTTTCCTGGGACGTATTTGTGTCTGACTTTGCGGGTGATGACGCTCCCAGGTCTTCAGAAGTTTTTCGAGTGAGCGGCGCGACAACACTTCGGTACGCACCACAGCTCTTCCCTAATTGTTGAGTACTGGTCCACCTCATCATCCGGAAGTTGAAAACACTTATCTGCTCAATGTAGTGGTTAGTGCTATCTTGACCTCCAACTACAACCATCTCAGCCCCACCATAAAGGTCTATGTCATCATTACTATTTGATTTATTGGAAGGAGAAGAGGTGTTTAAAGTCAAGGAGATAGTAGATGAGGGTAAGATTGTCGCACAATGGGCGTATCGACCTTGGGGTGCATCACCACATGGTATGAAAGTCCACTTCCGAGTTGGGACATCGTACATGTGAATATCAGACATGACTACCACTTCTGATTGAGTATCAACATTTGACTTCATTAAACCATATTGCAATTGACTTGGCGCAGGCGACATGCCGCCGTAACAAATGAGCTTGTTATCCCCCAAGGGACACAGACTGTGAAAATAACGAGGAGGCGGTATATCACCGAAAGTACTTATTCGAACCCAATGCCGCCGTATCAGGTCCAACTCATAGAGGTCAGAGGTTAAAACTGGGCGAGTTCGTGATAGTATACGCCCACCAAATACGTAAAGTTTATCGCCTAATATTGTTGTAGTTGCACCCACCAGGGGATATGGTTCTTGCCCCGTTGTACGATGAACATTACACATGAGACCCGACAAGTGTTGAGATGGGCCTCCTGAAGTACCTGCCACTCCGTTTCCAGACGATCGAGAAGCAGGCCCCGGCGATGGAGCCGCTGATGAAGGACCGTTACTCTTTGGCGTAGTAATTTCTTCTTTAATATCTTCTTCTGTATCTGAGCGAGTCAAATCCCCCAAATTTCCAGTCGATTTGAACGCGGTGTAGATTGAAGAAGCTCCTGAGGTTGTTGAGTCCATTGTGCTGGTGCGACTATCGTTTATTGGCTGACGGGCCGTACCCAGGGCAACTTGAGGTGTATATGGTGGAGAAAATGGAGCTCGCAAGAGCTGCTTGACGGTGGGCGAGGCAGGCGTGGCAGGTAGCGGCTTCCCAAGGTCACTTGTGCTTCGTACATGGCCTTTTCTTGGTGGCTGGTGTCGTTCAGAGCCAGAGATGTTATGAGAGTCGAGCGTGCTTGAATATAGGCGTTCGTTGTTGGAATGCTGCCCGGGCCGCGGGCCTGTGGAAATAGACCCTAACTTTTTAATTCCTTTGCGCACACCGGAAAAAAAGTCTGGCCTTTCGGTTGGAAAGGTATCAGAAGCTGCTGAGTCGACTGATGAGGATAGCTTGGACTCGAGCGAGCCTGAAGGCCGCAGAGTTAGCTTGTCTGCCATGATATGTCATGGAGGGCAAAATGGGCTCTTAAAACTGAACTGAGAGATAACACGAGTGAGTTGTTCTCGAGACGCGATGGAAAATAAATTGGTGCTCTACTGGCGAAATGGGAGTTCCGCGGGCGGGGGGGGAAGTTTGAAAGCGATTAGGGAGGGTGAGGATAAGAGCGAAAGAGGTCAAGGGAAAATACACACGTCCCCCCATTCCTCAAATAAGGACAATAAGCGACCCAGGCAAAGAGTAAAGGATGCAAAATTTTGTCGACTGCACACAGATCATGTCGGCACAATACACTATGAGTACAACAGCAATCATGTCGACAGCCATTTGTTTTCATCTATCCAACTTCTTATCCGCCGTTTATTTCCTTGCTGTAGCACCGTCTGCGAGGCAGTGCTGAAGGGAATTACGAGGAGCAGCTTGTGCACGGGTAACCTGTAGACCACGGTCTCATAGGGACACGACCTAAACCAATATTATTGGAACACTTTAACCATTCACGAGTTTATTTGTGATCCCTGTGAAATATGAGACGGTTAGCTGGCTTAACTGAAGCACGGATTTCTGATCTCCAAACGGAACGACGGAACGATAAATCTAAGGAGCTACCCAAGTCAAGGCTCATCCCAGTCCAAAGCTGTCATCACTTCTCCAAAATGTTATTTGCATAAAATAAGCGTAATTTCTCAGCATGAAATTGTGGAGCAGTTGGTATCCCTTGATGATTGAAGAAGATAGGGGTTTCTGAATGATTAAAAGTAGACGCTATGTAGTGCACGAAGTTATATTGCACTGCAGGTATGTTGAAGTCCATATGTATCCTCATGCAAAGATAAGTCTAGTGCGGGCAGGCATGGTGAGGAGCTAACATTTCACTAACACGCAGCTATGTGCGCTTCCGTATGGTCATACGGCAAAGATTGAATAGTGGACTTGTTGGCAGCGCGTATGGACCCTAGTGGCTGGTCTCGGCAATTTCTCGGCACACTAAAATTTCCATTAAAAAAGCAAATTTGAGATGCTCGCTTTCTCCCCTGCATCATGAATTTCCCGCCCGATCAATCTACCCAACTCTAAATGAAGCAGCATCTTGTCCACGCATCCGGACCCTCAGCGTCAGATGAGGGAACCACATCTACAAGAATACACTTGTGCTGTTCTCTACCTGCGATACGTCTCAACCACGTTGAAGAAAGGTTGTAAAGAGTTCTTGTTGGAAAAAGCGCGATTAAAGCAGGTAAAAGAGGGTCTTAATTTAAGAGGAGTGAGTAGGACAACAGCAATCCTGATTAAGTACAGATATTGCTTCTTCTAACACCCTCGCTATGGGCAGCGGCTATCCCTGAAAGAATTGTCACGATAACCTTCTGCCGTTCTTCTACAAAATAGAGTTTGGATCTTGGCCTGGACGGGCTCTAATGTTCCAGAATTGTTTGATAGGCGAGAATTCTAACGCCTAATGTTGCAAGGTAAGTCCGTGTGTCGGTCCATGTGAGAGGCATGTCTTCGTCAATTACTCCAAGCACCGATCATTGATCAGATTACTGCCCTGGGCCTTGCTAACAAGTTGCAATCAAATTCCTAGTGGGCCACCTGTAACTTGGCTGGGCACTGCTAGTCAACGTCAATCTAGAGCTCCGCTATGATAAATCGATCCCACCTAGGGTGTCATTACATAGCAGATAATCCTATTGAAAGTTTCTTTTAACACTTAAGAACAAGATCACTAGCCATGAAGTACTTCATCCACACAAAGCCTTGTAAAATGATTGGCTGTCAATTTGGCACAGTAAAAATCTCTAATCACTGTTGAAGGCAAGCTAACACCGATGGGGACTATTGAATAGCCTGGCTCACCATATTCGAAATTTTACTCGATTGTCGAATCGAATCTGGCACGGCCCCAAAGCTCGAATGCGCGTAATTGTTCCCAAATGATGATCTGATGATTACCGTAGCATAGCTAAAGCTGCCATCGGCAAGCCAATCTTCTATTTTTGAACCAGGCTTAAGTTGTGTGTGCAGCTAACTAGCCTAGACACTACATCAAAGATAAAACACAGAATGAATGAGCTAGATTAAATCCAGGGCACTAATATGTCAGATCTCATTTGCAAGTACGACTGTATTAATTCATTTTATTGTCCTGTCTGAGTCTATGACTATGTAGGACATGCAGGTCCTCTCTGCCTACAGGCCAAGGATACCTATACCAGTGGTGTATCCCCTCCTATGCCTCCCATACAGCTCCCCTCAAACAGTACCTCCCCTCACAAGTCCTCATTCGATCATACACTAAGAGGAGCCCTTAGCCCTTCATTATCTCCCCTCTCCAGCCAACGAAACGGTGGTCATTTGCGGGTGTATGGCAGCTGGGAAAATTCGCAAAAACCACTGGATGCGGGGCTCTTCTAATACCGACGTTAGGAATAAATCCGAAGACATATTGCCCCTTCTGAAGCGTTCGAAGAGGCCGGCCAGCTGGGCGCTGCAGACTTGTGGGTACCTCGGGAAATTTACCCTCTGCCTTTCTAGCCTCCTTTCAACTCCTTCCAACTCCTTCCCGAAGGTCGTGCTGAAATGTCAGAAAAGTCTTGACAGAGCGTGATTGCCGTATGGTAGCTTAGCCCAACTTCTTTTGTACCGTCCAGGGCGCTGGGGAGTGCCGTTGACTCATCGACAAAAGAAGCCTTCCTGGCTAATTAGCCCAAATCTCGGTCTTGGCGCCCACAAAAGATCCCAAGTTGAAACCTCCTCGAAAAATATCGTTCCCAGCATGGTCTTCAGAGACTTGTTCCCCCTCTCGCTCCACATCTCAGCCGCTTGTTCTTCCTCAAGATGTATAACCCCATTAGAGCAGCAGTCCCTCATAAACCAAGACCCCAACTTTGTATTTTTCGACTTGATTTCCTCCTTGCGGGTATAAATAGTGTCGTAAATATGTAGAGAGTGATGGCCGGTAATGAATGAGGCAAGCTCCTGTTTGCAATTGGGGTGACGCCTCTATCGGTCGGCGAGGCGAGTTGATATGTGGTTAGATCGGGGTTGAGGACTCAGAAGATAATGATGAGTGCTGCATGATTGAGAAGTCGTCAAATGGAGATATGCTTGTGTTTGCTTTCGACTTCGATTCGGATGCGATTCTTCTTGGCTATCCCAGATATGCAGAGCATACTGAGCGATTACACCGGCACCACTGGAAGGTGAAGAATTCGTCTTTGCCGGCCAAGTACGACTGTAGAATTATGGAGAATTCTACTTCCCCCGAGGTCATCACTCATCCGTGAACCCACCTAGGGAAACGTCTCGAAAACCCTGAGTTATCCAGACATACCTCCATCATCCGCTGAGTTTTCTCCGCGCGGAATGTGGCACGAGGTGTTTCCTTCCTAAGTGGAGTAGGTGCCCAGGCTACTCAAACTTTACTGAAGAACACCACCAGGAGGAGGACAACAACCCCTTCCATCGTTTGCTTGTTTTTATAGTGTCAGCTGTTGTCTGGGCCATGAGGTGTGCGACTTAAACATAATGATACTTAATTTAAATTTAGCACAATCTATTTGATCAAAAGTGGGGATGAAAGATATGCAGACGGTTATATCTTTCAGTGAAGAAGTGGTAGTGGTTCTAGAGGAAGCAGTCAAAAAGAAGCTCGCAGATCCTGCTTGCAAGGCAGTTCCTGTAGCAGTTTCAATATTGCAGGAGACGCGAACATACGCGTTGGTAACAGCGCCATCAATGGCCAAAACCGCGATTAGAATTCAAGCAGAGGAAGCAAAAGATATGCAGTTAGCAGGGCTGCTAATAAACGCACAGAGACCTATTCCAGGACTTCACTCTGTCCGACAGATCTGGAGCAACGACATCAAGGTGTTTGTGCAATCAGCGAGCCAATGAGACAAGGCTCTTAATTTGATTGGACTAGAGGGCTTTCAGGTCGCACGTCAAGTTTTCTTGGTTGAAGACGAAATCCAAGTGGGCAAAACGCCAACATCTCGACTTTGGCAGGATAATCGAGGCGCCTTTAAGAGTCCGAATTCCAAGACTAAATATAAATAGAGTAAAACAGATGCACAATGAAAAGGAGATCGAGTGTGCCATGAAGAACCGTCGTTCAAGAGGGTCAATAATTTTGAGTCTCCCCACGGAGGCTATTAAAATAATAAGCGGTCCGATACGGCAATATCTTCAGTGCCATACCTTACTCGGCACAAGTCCGGTCTCCAGAGGCACAGCCAAACCAGTGATATCGCTGCATCGGCCTTGCTGCAACTCGTGCTTACTTCCGCGCTCCGGTCTGCTGGAGTTCCGGATCAAAAATACAGTGTGAATCATAATGTAATGCCCTCAACAGATTTCGAAACTGTGAGGGATCCCTCTGCTCGGATTCCTCGCACTGCTAAGCCAGATCCAACAGGTTCGGTCCGGTGAACAAATAACTGCTTGCGGTGAACTGCCAAGTAGAGCACGGAAGATTCACAGAAGCAGCCCGGGCAAGGGCTGCAGCTGAAAGAGCAGATAGGCCATTATTGCCTCAAACGACATCCCTGCAGAGAGATCGGGCTCCGCAGTTCTTGATTCCCAGGAAGAAGTTTGAGATAACAGGTCCCTCAATACGCCTTCCAGGTGTTCACCATCAAATAGCAAGACGCCGAAGGGCAAGACTGAACACCTGTACGCGGTGTCCTCTACGAACCTGAGAGTGAAATATTTCCCAGAGCTAAGTTCAGTCAAATTTCGCAATATCAAAGAAATTGGCCCACGAGGCAATGATTCAAAATACTCCATCATATCAATCTTTCACTCCCAACGAAATCGATTCCTACCTAAACCTCATCAAGATTACAAGTACGACCTAGTACATCCTCATTCCAATGACCACACCTCATTTCGACTTTCTCTGGCCTCAGTTGACCACCAAATACACGCCCTCGCCGATATTTATACCCGACGGAGGAAGCAAAGCGTGGAGCACAAATCTTAGAGATAGCTCTTTGGG